AGAGTACTTTGAAATCATCTATTAAAGGAAGCCACGAAAATTTGAATAGCGCACGAAAATGTATTTAACCAAGAATTTCCTAAAATTCTTCAAATATTGTGGGATGAAATCTTCCAGCCAATTTGCTTTTAAATTTTTAAATGTATTTTCATGCGCTAATACAATTTTCGTGGCTTTCGTTAATGGATGATTTCGAAGTTTCCTTCTTAAAATCAAAGTTAATTGCCAATCTCATCAAATGATGTTACAACCACTAACTCAATTGATTATTTATTTATTTCAAATGGCAGGCATTATGATAGGTATCATTAGCCCCTTAGTTGACTTCGGACTACACAGAGGGGAGGAGGAACATCCAACTGGTAAAAAGTCGAGAGGGGGAAGAATAATGATTCACAGACGTAAGAGACGGACGGACACAAAGGTAGAGAAAAAGGTGAGGTGAATACTGTGGAATTATTCGAATATGAAATTCAATAGGGTCATGGTAGTTTGAAGTCCGAAGTCAACTGCCGATTTATAGACTTTTTTGCCGTATGAGTATACGTTGCCCAGGGTGCACCACGTGGAGGTAAGTCTTTCGCACACCCCACTCAATTGATTATTTTATATCCTAATTGGACAGTCAAAATAAAAAAAACCTGAAATTAAAAGATATTTATTTGGCATCTCGACGTTTTTCAATTTTAAGTCAAAAATTCAAATATACTGGCCCGAAAAAAACTATTTTTTTGTCGTTTATTTGTGCTCCTTAGGAAATAATAATAATTCAACTAAAAGGTCTCATTAAACACGATGCTTGAAATAGTAAGGGGAGTCTAGACCAAAGTCTGCGTGTTCCTTTAGCGGAAACAATTCTCTCAAAGCAAAATTATCTGTTCGGATTATTAGTACAGCTTAATTATATTTTTATGAGCCAATATTTGCAGTTAAGATAATGCAAAAGGATGCGTTCACTACAATTTTTTTCACACTTCATATTTCAAAGGAAAATTGTTTTTCATAAATTTGCATTGGTATTGATAAGATAATTAGATCATAGATTATTCGATACCAGCAAATAGCCTTAATTAATTGCTGTTACTTACAGAGAACGAATGACCAATATGCAAATAATTTTAAATCTACTAAAATGAAATTTGACTTCATGGCATATTTTACAATTTTACGGTATCGAATGCTGTATTGTTAGGATGAGGGAAAATTTAGCAAAAATAATATATTCAATCAATCATTTTCTGTGATTTTGGAAAAGCACACAGTATTTTGTCAATTAGGTATATGGTCATTAATAATATTTTATATTAAATTTAATTGTTAAAATTATTAATTAACTCACTCTCATTTGATTACAATATTTTAACAGAAATTGCAAGAGCGTATTATTACCAATAATGTACGGAATTATGACAATTAAAACCGTAAATAGTTTTTGAGAGCAAAAATTAATTTTGTTGCTAATGAGCATGATTACATATTATGATTGCTTCAGTTATTGCAGTCAAATGCACGTATAGAAGTGGGTTAAATATGAATCCAAACGCAAATTCTTTTTCATGATAACAGAAATTGGACATCATGTTACATTAATAGATTATATCTTTTATTGAGAATGCTTTTTAGGGTGACAATGCAACTAAATCATGAAGTTTATAATTCTAATATAATGACTTAATGAATACGATTTGATAAATATCTGTTTAATTCCCAGATAAATGTAGCATATACAAATATTCAAACCGATATTTGGCAGTTTTATCTTTTGGACGAAATTGGCAGCCAAATGATTTAAGGACGCGTGCCGGATGACGTGAAAAGCACTAATGGCTCAACGATGTTAAAATCAAAACAACCGCTCATTAATTTATTTTATTTCTGCAATTCCAAAAATTTGTGTCCAGCGTTTAAAATTTGAATGGTATCACAAATGAATGCTTCCGAAAAGATAACTTGAACTATAAAATGCTATTGGGAATTGTCAAGGTTTTGCAAATAAAATATTTATGCTGTCCGTGTAATTGCATCTTTAATACGCATGTATTGCTGTAAATTGTATCAATTGCAAGTAACAAAATGTAGAAGTTATTGTCTTTTTGCACTTTTCGATATTCAGTTGCACAAATTTTGCATATGTGCTATATATACCAAGCAGTTCTTTATCGATTAATAATTAGTGCACACTTTAGAAACACATTTACCCTATGAAAATCACATTCAAAAAATGCGAAACACGTTTAATTTTAAATGATAAATAGTCTGGCCAGAATTTCTACCCTAGTTGATTCATTAATCTTACAGGCAAATTATTGGCGTCTTAGTACAGTTTTGACTACTAACAATTTATATAATCGACACGTTAATAAATTTAACATCAAACGTGATATATTAATACATTTAGTAAATGATTAAGTAAACATTAGATCTTTTTAAATAAGCTATTACTATACTTTGGCGACATGTTTTCGTTTCAGACACAACGATTCTTGATTCATGAGTTACTTCAACATGTATAAATATCTATTTCATTTGAGCAAATTAAAGTGAAGATTTATTCAATAAAAGTTAATAGTGGCACAGAGCATTGAACTTGCCTTTACTAACAGAATATAATGTGAGCAGTGGATAAAAAAGTACCGTAAATTAATGGAATCTAACTGAGTGGCTGGATAGCACGTTCGTCCGTGCTTTGTTCATTTCAATGAGCGACCAGTCGATTTGGATTAGATATTTTATTTAAATTATTTCTCAATCTTGTATGACCTAATGAGTAAAAAATATTCACCTACCTTGAAAAAAAAACTTGTGGAATTTTTATTTTAAATTATGCCGATTTATCATATGACTGCATTACATAATTATTTTACTCGAATTTCAAACTCTAAATATAACCAATGAATTGAGCTTTCAAAATGATAATTCAACGTGAAAGATGTCGTTTGGGCTTGAAGAAATAATAATAAAATTTGTTTATTTTTATATTTTTTTCGTTACATTATTGTACAATTGAATTTCTTTATTGATTTTAAAATTACAGATTCAACAACGAAGGGCATTATGAGGCATGTAAAGTACACTACCACTACTTATTTATTTAATTATTAATGAATATCAAATAATTAAAATTATATCCGTTCCCCACATCTTTGATTCGGGTATTGAGAAATCGATTATACTATTTTGCAAATATTGACTAGCTCAAATAGAATATTATACTTTATGTCAGGATTTTGGAGCATAATTTTTAGTGATATCGGTGTTTGAGAGCAGCAGTTTTGTCTCAAGAGTGCTGCCTTGAAATTAATCGGCTGCCGAATAATCACCCAATAAATTGTTTTCACTCTAAGCCATTGTGAAGGTTTAGGAATTTCGGTCGGTTCTAAGATGATTGCATTTAAAATTCGATGTACAATTGCTTTCAATGTTTTTTTTGCCCACAGCGTTATCATATTTCTTTAATTAGCTTAGGTGCCTTTTATATTGATTAAGGCATTTTAATATTTTTGGAGTCAATTCCAATAATAATTGACACAATTTTCCTTCTCAAACTTATTTGACTTAATGATTCGAAAATAGTTTTTTTCACTGCAAGTTAATTTCAGATTTTGTCCTTTTTGATTAATCGATTTTATTGATCAGCAGAATCATTCCATTTGCTAATATCATACAACAAAAGGTGTTAATAATTTAATAATAATACGTTTGATATATTATTGCTCATATCGATGTTGATGATTTGTTGGTCGAATATTCATTAAGACAAAAATTAAATATTTCTATAACTTGAAGCGTCATATATGTCATTGTAGGTGTTTGCGCATATAATGCAGCTAAACTTGAGAAATTGTATCCGATTATTGCAGAGTAAATGTTTATTCATTAAATTAAAAATTAGTATGAAAGTTAATTGTGGCACAGCGTTTGGTCATTGATTTAATTTTTGAATATTGATGACGTGCATAATGTGATTATTAACTTTGAAAATATTTTTTTCTTAAATTATCTCTCCCCATTTTTGCAGAAATATTCAAATGCATTAGAGAATTGAAAAGCTTTTTCGATTTATTTGTATGTGACAAAGTTCAAACAAGTGCATTCTTGAGATTTTATATTTATTGAATTAACCACCACATAAACTTTTTAATTTATTTTTGTAGTAATTAGCAGCATCAATCAGTTGAATATCCTAAGGATTACGTTCTCTAGGTTGGCGTCTGCTTAGAAGGTGTCTAATTTTCATTTAAGATACGTCAAACCGTCCAAAGTAAAATAGTATTCAATTTAAATACCATTTAAAATTGACATACTGTATATCTCATTGCTTCATCGTTAGCCTTATAATATACTTGTGTTAACAGCATAAATATTGTTGCATTTACATCGAAGTCAAAATCGAATGCCGAGTGATAAACTTTTTTTCCGTACAAAGACATGTTGTCCAGGGTGCATCATGTGGAGGTAAGTCAATCGAGCGCCTTAATTCGAAAAGAATTCCAGACCTCAAGGTGGAACGAACTTAAAGCTCGGACAAAGGAGAAACAGTGGACAGTGGCAATCTCCGACATACCCATGGCCAAGAATGGAATCTGTTGCTGAGTTTAGACTACGTAATGGCCAAGAATCGAAGCCGTTGCTGAGTTTAGCCTTTGGCCAAGAATCGAAGCCGTTGCTGAGTTTAGACTACGTACTAGAGAAACAGTGGACAGTGGCACTCTCCGACATACCCGACTAGCCAAGAATCGAAGCCATTGCTGAGTTTAGACTACGTACCGACGGATTGCCTGGCAAAACACCTTCAAAGATTGGGAGTATACACTGGCCACCTTCACAGATTAGAGAGTATACACTCAACCCACATGCCCTCTGTGTAACCTACTTGAGTATATACTCAACCCACATGCCCTCTATTTAACCTGCAGGAGGAAATGGAGAAGACCCACCTGATTCGGATCCAGCCCTAAAGACAAGTACGGAAAGCCAAAGATACTGGTATACAGGAGGAAATGGAGAAGACCCACCTGATTCGGTGTTCAAAGGAGGAAATGGAGAAGACCCACCTGATTCGGTGTCTAGCGGAGGAAATGGTGATGACCCACCTGATTCGGTGTCCAGCTCTAAAGACAACGGCAGACCCACCTGATTCGGTGTCCAGCTCTAAAGACAAGGACGCACCTGATTCGGTGTCCAGTCCTAAAGACAACGACGGAAAGCCGAGATACTGGGAAGCAAGAAGACAGCTACTCCGGAAAGCCAGAGATACTGGGAAGCAAGAAGCCAGCTAATGAATTGCTATTAATTAAACCGCTATAAATGTACCCCCCCCCCCTCTTGGGGAAGCTGAAGTCAAAGATTAAGGCTATAAATGTACCCCCCCCCCCACCCTTGGGGGAAGATGAAGTCAAAGTTTTTCCGCTATTGATTAACTGCTATAAATGTACCCACCCTTCCTTGGGGGAAGCTGAAGTCAAAGTTAAATTGCGAATGATACCCCTCCAATGTACCCCCCACCCTTGGGGAAGCTGAAGTCAAAATTTAAGCAAGAAGCCAGCTAATGAATTGCTATTAATTAACTGCCTTAAATGAACCCCCCCCCCCTCTTGGGGGAATCTGAAGGACTAATGATAAATATCATAAAACCTGCCATTTGAAATAAGTAATTAAATATTGCTGCATATTTTTTTTTCAATTAAAAACGTATATTGAAAAGCCTAAGTAGAATGAAAATGGCATTCCATTATTATCAAAATGACAGTGAGTGAGAAATTAATAAATGGAATACATCAATAGTAAATGAAAATTAGTTTATGCTGATATTTGCTTAAATTTTTGCTCACAGGCAAATGATAAGAAAATAGTAGCCTTCACATAAAAATAATTTGTGTTACTGAAGTGCACACACAGCCAGAACAATTCGTTATCGAAATCCAACTTCTTAAGCTCTCTCGAAATGCTAATAAATCTGTCCATAACCACATGAACCTAAGGTGCTAGTTTAGAAACAATGAAGTAATTGTTTATTCGTGTCATACAAATTCCCACTTTCCAAAATAAACAATCTTTGAGCATATATATTTATTGATATAACGTATGAACGAGTAAATAGTAATTTTATAGCAAATAGTTGTGATGAGATTACAAGTAAATAAACAGAATGGTTAATTCAAAGGCGTTAGTTTCAGGTTATTAATGTAATTTACAGGAAGTAAAAGGCACGACTTTATCTGCAGTAGAGGTAAGATAAGCATTCTTGAGATCTTAACAGGTAGCTTTTCTAAAAGATGTGACCGTATATTTGGCTTCCAGTATGGTGCTGGAAGTTATTTCCGATTCACACAGAAGAATCAGAATGCAATTTGTTGTTGGATCTGATTTCGTAAAAACAATAAAAAAATTCAGTTGCACAATAATAAAACGGAAAAACATAGAAATGAACAAATTGCACTTTTGTATAATTATATGTGGGACATTTTCAAATTGTGTTTGCCTATCCACGCAAGACTGTTTACAAAGTTAACCTATCGCACCATTTCTATTTAATACTATTCTATTTGATTGTTGGCATTTGGTAAAACGAATAAAATGAACGATATTTTCATTCATATGACACATACCTTTACTACTTGTTCAATAAAGAAGCATTGAAAGGGCATATATTTTCAAAATGCAATTTAACGGATTAAATGTATTTATTATTTTCATAAGCCCATACCGCATTTTACACGTGTATCATCATTTTAAAAGCGCAATTCTTTGGTTATATTTAAAGTTTGAAAGCAGTCATATAAAAAAACTGTATAATTTAGACTAAAACAAAAAAAATCTCCGTTAGGCAGTGATGTTGATTTCGTTAAATATTTAAATGACAATTCATCAAGATCTCAAAGTCGCTAATTTCAAAATTATTATTATTTAAAATGATATTTAACTTAAACGTTTAAAATTTGACATCAGCTTCCCCCATGGGTGGGGGTACATATATAGCAGTTAATGAATAGCAGTTCATTAGCTATCTTCTTGCTTTCCAGTATTTCTGATTTTCCGTCGTTGCCTTTAGGGCTAAACACCGAATCAGGTGGGTCTTCTCCATTTCCTCCTGTAGGTTACATAGAGGGCATGTGGGTTGAGTGTATTCTCCCAATATACCGAATCAGGTGGGTCTTCTCCATTTCCTCCTGTAGGTTACGAAGGGGGCTGAGTGGCTCCTGTAGGTTACATAGAGGGTATGTGGGTTGAGTGTATACCATTTCCTCCTGTAGGTTACATAGAGGGGATGTGGGTTGAGTGTATACTCTTAGGTTACATAGAGGGCATGTGGGTTGAGTGTATACTCCCAGGCTACATAGGGGGCATGTGGGTTGAGTGTATACTCCCAATCCAGAGGGCATGTGGGTTGAGTGTATACTCCCAGTCTGTGAAAGGGCATATGGGTTGAGTGTATACTCCCAATCTGTGAAGGGGGCATGTGGGTTGAGTGTATACTCCCAATCTGTGAAGGTCCATGTGGGTTGAGTGTATACTCCCAATCTGTGAAGGTGTACATGTGAGTTGAGTGTATACTCCCAATCTGTGAAGGTGTTCGCCAAGCAATCGTGTCCGGTACGTAGTCTAAACTCAGCGGCTCTGTCCGATACGTAGTCTAAACTCAGCAACGGCTTCGATTCTCGTAGTCGGCTATGTCGGAGAGTGCCACTGTCCACTGTTTCTCTGTTGTTCGAGCTTTGAGTTCGTTGAACCTTGAGGTCTGGAAAGTCGGGTATGTCGGAGTTGCCACTGTCCACTGTTTCTCCTTTGGGGCTATGTCGGAGATTGCCACTGTCCACTGTTTCTCCTTTGTCCGAGCTTTAAGTTCGTTTAACCTTGAGGTCTGGAATTCTCTTCTGATTAAGGCCTACATTTGTGGAAAGACATCGGCCGGTCCATGCTTTGCAAAATCGGTGTCCCCTTCTTAGCAAGTGTGTCAGCAATCTCATTGCCATTAATGCCACAGTGACCAGGAATCCATTGTAGGACCACTGTTTTGTTTTTCTCTCTCAGCAGCTCATAGAGTTTTCTACATTCTTTCATCTTAATTGTTTTGGGTGACTCCCTGTATCCAGTTGGGTTTATTGTTGACTGTGATTCTGAAAGTATCACCGCTTTTGTATCCAGGCAACATAATTGGCATAGTGCTCGCCTAATTACCTCTATTTTTCCTTTAAAAGCAGATCTATTGTGTCCCGCTGCTGCGCAGAAAGAGAAGGGTTCAGAATAGACAATTGCACCAATGTTTGCTTGGTTTTCTATGTATGACCCATCAGTGAAGACTTGGAGCCATTGATCTGCAGGATAGTTGACATTGATTGTCTCAAGAGCCAGTGAGCGCATTTGCTCTGGAGGAATTTTTGATTTCCTGAAGAAGTCGAGCAGATGGGTGCAACACACTACATCAGTGTCTGCTAATGGGTTCATGGAGAGAGAGAGGCTTTTTGGTTTGTCATCGATTTGTAATTCTTTCTTCAGTTCTATGGCTTTCTGTATTAGACTAGATTGCGTTTTCAGATGTCTTGGTCAATTCTCATAGCTGCTGAGGAATTTATCCATGGGAATGCGCAATAGCTTCTCATACAGGATCAAGGCCTTCTCTTTGATAAGGGAGCCTATTGTGGTGTTTCCTGTAACTTGGAGCATTGCATCAATGGGTGCTGATTTTATCCCTCCAGTAATTAGTCGTAATGCTTGGTTGTGTGCCTTCTCGAGTGGTTTGAGAGTCACCTAAGTGACTGTAATGAGTGGCTCTCAGCAATACAACATTATTGGCTGAATAAACATCTTGTAAGTGTTGTTGAGAGTTGAACAATTATATATATTTTCTGGAGTGCAGTCATTATTTTATTTGGCTACCAATTACGACAACATAATTTGGCATATTTTGCACTTAAGTGTCAGAAACAACCGAAGAGGATAAAGACATATTAGTACTCCTATCATCAGAGAGAGGTATGATTGGTAAAGAGGAAGAGCAAAGTATGGACAGTAAGCATTAGTTAGGTCAGAGGTCATGAATTGCAAAAATGTCTATTGGTTTTTGAAATGAACAACCGAAGACGATAAGGACCTAAAACAACACCAATCATCAAAGAGGTATGATAGTTAAAGAGGATGTGCAATCATATAGCCAATAAATAATTGTTTGGTCAGAGATCATAAAAATCAAAGTGCCAACTGGTCTATTGGAATGAACAATCAACATAAAGATGTATGATTGGTAAAGAGGAAGATCAATAATATGGCCAATAAGCATTCGTTGGGTAAAAGATCATAAATGTATAAGTAAAAAAAGTTGTAGATATTAGGAGTGACGGATGGGGGGAATATGGGTATGGATAGAAAAAAATTTGGACAGAAAAATAGCCAAAATGATCGGGAGAAAGAAAGACAGAGAGTAGAGTGGAATAGAGTAGAAAAAAGAAGAGTAGAGAATAGTGTAGAGTGGAGTAGAGTAGAGTAGAGTTAGAACACGAGGGGTGTGCAA